ATAGTTGTTCAGTGAGGTGGGGTCACCTCCCTTCAGCAAAGGAAGAACAAAGGCTGTTTTCCAAGTGTCTGGGATGGAGTTTTGTCTTATGGAGAGATTGAAGATGTGGGTCACAGGGACTGAGATGATATGAGCAGCCAGCCTTAAGAAATAAGGTGGAAGTTCATCTGGACCTGCAGATTTTTTAGAATCAAGATCTTTTAACAGTTTATTGACCTCACTGACTGAGAATGGAGAAAAAGAGAAGCTGTGATTAACTGAGGATTGACTTGTAGGACGGATTTGATTTGTAGAAGTTTGATTATTAGGGGAAGTGGCTGATTTTCCATTAGTAACTGTGTCAAATAAAGAACCAGAAGCAACAAAATGTTTGTTGAAACAGTTCAGGATCTCGTGCTTATTTGACACAGGAACAGAGTTAATGAGAAGTTGTGATGGGAGGTCAGATGATTGGGGGGTGCCTGAGAGAGATTTGATGGTTTTCCAGAATCTGTTAGGGTCATTTAGATTTTTGGAGGTCTGAGATAAGAAATAGTTGCGTTTTGCTGCTTTGACAGAAGTTGTACATTTATTCCTCATCTGTTGAAAACTCAACCAATCAGTGTCTGAGTCAGATTTTCTCGCTGCAGCCCAAAGATGATCTCTCCTGTGCAGGAGGTCAGCTAGCTCTGGAGTAAACCAGGGGCTGTCTCGTCCCTTTATTCTGAACTGACGAAAAGGAGCATGTAAGTTCAGGAAATAAATGAAATTATTATGGAAATAGTTCCAAGCAGAGTTCACGTCATCAGTTAACAGAATACGATGCCAGTCAAAGTGAGACAGATCCCAGAGGAATGACTGTTCACAAAAACGTTTCAGATCCCTTTTTTTGAATTAATCTGGGCTTAGAAAGTGGAAGTTTACTATTTCTTAAAGCCGCTGTCACACAATGATCACTCAAAAGATCAGTGAATACACCTGTACCAGGGAATTTGTGAGGCATATTAGTTAGAAACAGGTCTAAGATGGAGGAATTTTCAGGATGGCTTTTATTTAATCTGGTGGGGGAGTCGATCAGTTGGGATAAATTAAAAGACAAGCAACATTCCTTGAATTTGTCACAGAGGGGGGGTCGACTTACACCAATCAATGTTGAGATCTCCAGCCAAAAAGATCTCTTTGAATTTTAAATTACCAAGAAATTCCTTCATGGCAGTTAATGCCTCAGGTGATGCAGAGGGGGGGCGGTAACAACCTACTACAGTTAAAACCTGGCCTCCATTCAAGGTGACATTTACAGATAAGGCTTCAAACTGGTTTGGAATTGTTTTGGAAGTCACAAGACTAGAAACCAGAGAATCTCTAATGTAAATAATGACTCCCCCCCCCCCCCCCTTTTTTTTTGAAGATCACAGTGGTAGATGTTGAATCCATCGATTGCCACGTCATTATTCAGTACAGATTTGTTGAGCCAGGATTCAGAAATAAAGATAACATCAGCCCCAGAAGAACTGACCAGGATTTTCAAAGCATCAAGTTTTTTCAGAAGGCTACGAGCGTTTACATGCAGAAAATGAAGCCCTGAGGCGTTTTTAAAGTCATTTGGTGTGCTGTAATTAGTGGGGGGTCCAGGGTTGGGCTGAATCCCTGAGAGCAGTAACAACATTATTATCAGACATTTTCTTGAGTTTTTTGTGACTGATGTGTAATTACAGGAGTTAACAGTGTGACAATTATCCCCCATAATCGAACTATGAGAAACATTACATTAAACCTAAATGTTTTTGGTGCAAGATATTCAAGTGGGGAGAAGTACCGTATTTTTCGGACTATAAGGCGCACTAAGCGAAACAAAACAGTCAGACAAGTCAAACTTTATTAATCTCATTCACAATAACCATATAAAATCGGTTTGAGGTCAGCAGCACAACCAGAATGTTGATTTTTGAGAACATCAAAAGATTTGAAATGCGCCTTAAAGTCTGAAAAATACGGTAGCTTCTTTTTTCTGCCTGAGGCGACGCAGTGATGGATCTTTGTGAGTGAAGGGAGCAATTTTGTCCTCCATCAGGTGCAATGGAGGAGCCAAGGGGTGGCCAATGGGGGCCTTAGCCCCCATAGATTAATATTTGGCCACCTCAATCATTTGAGGAAACTATAGTTTTAATAAATATAAAAACTAGAGATCAGTTTCCTCAAATGACTGGGGTGGCCGGTTTATGTGTACATGTGGCAGCGGCCATCTTGGATTTTGACGTGGCAACCCAGTTTTTGAAGGGAACCTTTTTTACACCCGCCCGCACACTGAAATGGAAATCTGCCCCTCACTTATTTTTAAAGTTATCGCGCTCACAACATGCACAGACTGACGGACACACAGCTGGAGGGTACTTCCGATCCCCCTCGTCGCTCCTTGACGGGACAGCGTCCTCCACGTTTTTCCAACAGAACCCCCCCAGCAGCTTCACAGAAGAGACGAGAGTAAGAAGTAAAGATTTATTATAAAAGTTTTCCACTGTAAAGTGTCAGAAGTCATCAGAACATGCTGAAAGAACATAAATAAAGACAAAACAACGTGTGCAATGTGGCGCTCGGAACAGAAAATCACTCACATCTAAAAACAAACAAAATACAACATTTGGACCTGCAGAGAAACTGGTTCTGTTGGTGGTTTACGACCCGACGGGCCTCCTGGATCAGCCACTTTTGTTCGAGGAAACACCACAAGAACTAATCTGTGTTTGAGGCACAAAACGTTGGCAACGACTTCAACAGAAGCCTCAATAACCTCGGGTCGGACCGGGTCGGGACGGTTCTGTTCACGTTCAGCTCTTGATTGGTTTTATTTTACATTCATGCTGCTCGACATTTTGTTTGGGAAAAAAAAAAAGAGGAGTGTGAGGAGGAATTATTAAAGTTTAACTCTGAACAGATGCAGGAAATACTCCACTCTGACTCCGGGTTCAACAAAAATAAAATACATCCAACACATCCAGAACCAGAGAGCAGAACCATCGGTTTCTAGTTCTGGGGGGGGGGGCGGGGCTCCCGGTTGGGTTACGTCTGAGGCTCGGGGCTCGGGCGCGGCGTTGTGTCTGG